CTGTATGTTTGTATGTCTAAGCATGTAAATGAGAAATATTTTTCTACCTCTGAATGGTATTAATAAAAATTGATTGAAAGAAAAGCTCTTGTGAAAATTGGGCATTCTAAAACTTCCAGAAAATTCTAATAGAAGATACTAAGCATTAATGCTGATTTAAGTTGAACTGAAACGGGACATATCCTTATGATTATCAGCTGCCTAAGTTTACCTAAAGTCTTTTAAGTCGATGTTATCTGCTAAATCTTTCAAGAATAAAATGCCTAGAGGCTTGACTTTGTCTGATGTTTGGTGAAAGTTTTGTAAGTAATCTAGCATAGTTGGTAGGAATGAGTAAACTAAATAAGTGTAGCAAGTGAACACCTTAATAATTGTGTGTTACAGTGTGTTACAGTGTGTATACCTACAAATGGCCTGAGAATTTTTGTAGTAACCTAAAACCTTAAAGTTTTGCTAAGTTAAGTAGACATATTTTTGTGCTTCATGAGAGATTGTGCTGTAAAGCACACGGTTCCAGAAATTATAAAGTGTGTTAAAAAATTTGTCAATCTAAAGAATGCTAGTGTAATGGTTTACAATAGCCTACTTCTCAGTGTTCACTGAAAATTAAAGTTCCTAATGATTTTAAGTTATAATTAAAACTACTTAAAGTAATAAGGAAAACATCTCTGCATGATAGAAAAGATGTGTGTTTTGGTAAGAGAAAGTGTAAGAAATGAAAATGTGTTTTATTGAAAGTAAAAGGCAACTTTGTTCTAAAGTACAGCTGTTTATTTAAAGAGGGAGAACACTGAATGTAAAAGGAAAGTTGTAGAAAGTTTGTGGAAAAATTTAATATGGTCATGCTATGTGAGATTAAAGCAAGTGAGTTTGATATATTAAGTACACAGCAAAACTAGAATTTTTTTCTGTTTGTTAAAAGGAAAAAGTTTTTTTGAATTATTTGTCTGCTCTTAATGGTAAAAGATTGCAAAGGATTTTTTAATTATTTATCAAAGCAGTTTCTCTTGCTTAAAGTCTCAGTGAGTTGTGTAAGTGGCCTTCTGTATTTGCCTTTAAACTTCTTATTGTCATTCTGATTAAATAGATAATGTTTCATAGTGACCTATGATTCTGTTGAGGCAAGTGCCTTAAAAACTTTCTTCTCACAGCTTCCCAAAATCAAATTAAAAAAGGTGCTTTTACCTCTAATTAACTCTGATATTTTCCAGAGGTCCCCTGGAACATGTCAGAGGAATTTTTTCTCATTAAGGAAAGTTATTTGGCTAATTTGGCTTATTTATCAGATATATAATTACCTGCCTAATTACCTGAAAAGCACTGTCAAAGGGAATGATGCTAAACTTTGTTACTGAATGTTTTGTTACAGAAATATCCAAATTTCCTTATATCAACTATCTTATAGTAAGCTCTCATCAGGTCTTTAACCATTGTGATTTGTAAGTCTTTTGTCATTTATAGTCACTGTTTAATTACTCATAAACTACTAAAGAACTAGATTTCACCAGAAAAGGTATTGGTTACATAGGATTAGGTAAACTAAGGAAGATGATTTTGTGGCTTTTTGTTTCAAATGTTGCTGATAAAGTGTTTTAAGCTTTTTCTCTTAAGCTGACAACAGTTTAGTAAATGACTATCTTTATAAGCAGAATTGAAACTTTATCTTTCTCTCTACCTGATCCCTCCAGAATTTAAAAACTCTCAGTGACTATTTTTATATTTCATGGCAGTATGTTTATTTGCATAAGTTCAATAAGAATCTGCTTTCCTTGTAAGAGGACCAATTAAAAACACTGGTTATATTAGCAAGGCTTTGACTGGAATGTGATACCCGAGAGGCACGTGTGTAAACTCAGATAGGAACTGACAGCTTTAAGGAACTAAGGTTGACTTTATAAAACCAACAAAGCCCCTTAGAAGAACTGGCCTGGTACCTTGCTTACAGAGTTCCCAGCAGCCTTACCAGGTGAGTAAGGAAGGTCACTTCCTGGAAGGTACAGGAACCTCAGGATGTCTTGGGGACCTCAAGAAGAGAGGAATTCACCCAAATCTACAGGTACTGCAGGCAAAACCTGATGGCAAGTGTGGATAAAATTGTAACATTTCCAGAATATCTCACCTGGCTTTAGTACATCTGCAAATCAATAGGCGTTCAAAGCTGGAAAGAAGTATGGCTTTAGTGCATCTGCATCATTCCTCAGGGGTGGAGAGAAATTCACCTGGGCAAGGAGGGCTTATCTGTGCCTGAGAGGGGAGGGGGAGGGCCAGCTTTGCTGCTGCTGGAGGAGAGAGAGATGGGCTGGACTGCAGTTTGTAAGCAATAAATGGGTTTTTAAACTTTATTTCTGCCTTTGACTGATTTCGGTTTTTAGAGGTATTTTGCCCTGGGATTTCCTCTCCACAGACTTACACCAAGTCTGCTTGGCTTTCTCGCCTCGAGAGGCCTTTAAAAGTCCAATCTGAAATTCCTTATAAAAAGTTCCAGCAAAGCACATTTAAAAGATCCCATGTAATCAATTGCTCTTCTTGCTGCACTTATGCAAATAATCAAGCCAAGTGTTAATTATTTTCTTAATCTGGTTACTTCTAATAAAAATGAGGGTGATTTTAGAGAAAAGTATTGTTTCAATAATGCAGCCTTATCTATACTAATCCTAGTACTAATCATTGGGACATAAACTAGATCCAGAATTCTAGTTTCCCCAAAATATCTGGCTCTGATTCTCCAGATGTTTGTTTTCTCCCATCATTTCAATTAGAATCTTACTATTCTTAATCCTTATGTTTAGCCATGTATTCTTTTATCTCCTTGTCAACTTTGTTCTTCCAGAATGGAAAATCCAACTCCAGATGTTGTTACTTAATCTAATAACACGATTTGTTCTATCTTGCCTAGAAGCCATGAAACTGCAAATAGTAATAGAAATGGAACCTGGAATAAAAGTGCTCATCTTCCCGAGCCCTCTCAACTGACCAGGGATGGAGACCTAACTAACTGCACCCCTTACTGCACCCCTTCTCAGCATGAACCAGCCAGAGTGGTCATGACCCCCTTTCCCTAACAGCAGCTAGGCTCTCTATCTGTAGAGGGGGGAATGAGACAGGGACCGTAGGTGTAGTCAGAGTGGGGTGAGGGCCTCTGGGAAAAGCAAGGAAGGATATTTACAGTCAGAGCAATGTAAAGATGTAAAGAAGTCCCTATTGAAACTCTGTGTTCAGCATGATGCAAAGTCAAGGTCACAATAGTTCTCTAGGAAAAAGATACTAGTCTAGGAATATAGACATCTTCAGTGAGATCAGTTAAAGGTCAAAAGGCCAGGAGCAACTTGGTCTGGAATGTTTGAGTGTTCCGCAAATAAAGAAAGGTATCTCAGAAAAAAAAAAAGAACAAGTATATCAGCATACTAAAGAGAAAAACTTATTATCCTATTTAGATGCAGAAAAAGTATTTTGCTGGAACTTAACATCTATTCACACACGGGAACTTGAGACATGAATGGAGGTGGCATTACTGGGGAAAGGATGGCTATGCATGTGGGGTTAAAAAAAGGATTTCACCACCTATTTCAGTACCATATCTTAAAATCGGTTCTGGGTAGACGATTACTTGATTGTGATAGGCAAAACTTTATTTTAGGAGAAATGATGAGGAAACAAAGTATGACCGCATCACAGGAAGGATTCTTTAAGCAAAAAACAAGAGCAAGCCATTAAGAAAAGATTGATACGTTATGTTAAAAGTGAGAACTATTTGTTTAAAAAAATGCTATAAAAAGAGAAAGAACAAGTACAGACTGATGTGCTATTTGCACGAAACCAACAAGTGATTACTCTCCAGGATAAGCAAAATATTGAGAAAAAAAATACCAGTACTTGAATATAAAAATTAGCAAAACCAAACCAAACGTGAACATACAATTCATGGAAGAGAAAAAGTAAATGACCCTTAAACATGGAAAATCAAAGCACAGTAAGATACCATTCTCCCATATCAGGTTAGAAAAACATTAAGAAGTCTGACAATACCAAGTTACCAAGTGTTGGCCAGGAGGGGGAGCGACAAGAATGGGTGTGCACACCTGGTATGCATGTAGATTGATGCAATCACAGCCCCTTTAGCTTGGTGATTGTAACGCTGAAGGTGCACACGTCCTATAACTCAGCAATCCTAGTCCCAGGTGTACAGCCTAGAAATTCTTCTGTAGGTGCTAGAGTGGCAGCATTGCTTATGAGAGTCCTCAAACTGGAAGCAACTCAAGTGTCCGTTGGTGGTGGAATGGTTCACTAAATCATTACACAGAATCCTCTAGTCCAGTGAAAATGCATGAGGTAGGGCTAGTGCATCGACCTGGGTGAATGTGAAGCATGTACTACAGAGCAAGAATTGAAGTCTCCAGAAGTATGTTCAACATGGCTCTACTGATAAAACCAAAACAGGCAAAACTAAGCTGTGATTTAAGGATACCTACACACTCAGAGAAGCACATTTAAAAAGAAAAGGTGTGGCAAACACAAAAATTCAAGGTAGTACTTGATCTCTTAGTGGGAGGAGGGAGCAGCAGACGGAAGCAGGCAGTGCATGGGTGTTGGTCGTGCTCCATGCCTGAGGCCGGGTGGTGAGTCCATGGGGTTGTGGGGGGGCTTGCACATGTTATCACTGTTTGTATTGGATAAAGTATCTTTAAATGCATTTGGGATGCCTTTATTAGAACTTTAATAAGTGGGATTGATCTTTTCAGGATTTACTCTCCAACATATCATAGGCCTGTCAGATCCATAAAATGAATTACTGGGGGAAATTTTGGCCTGCTCTTTCAATGGTGAATAAAGGTGTGGCTGAATTGTATGTATTGGATGTCAAATGCCAGCTGTCCCTCAGACATGCAGGATGATCTGTGCAGGTCTCATCAACCGTTCGAGTGGAAACACGACTCACCCTGTTTCCCTTGGGCAACCCAGCCAGATATCATTAACCTGAGTCCTGTGATGTTGCTTTCTAGGAGAAGCACAGAACAGCTAGTTCCCTGAGCAGTGGTGCTCTGACGTGGACAAAGAAATTCAGCCTGGATTATTTAGCCCTGGACTTCAATTCGGCATCACCAGCTCCTGTACAGCAGGTAGGAAGGACTTCATGTCTGAGAATTCCCAGGTGATTGCATTTCTGTTTAGATTTTTCTGGTGATTCAGCAATGCATATTCTCTTTGGAAAGTCTTAAATGTACAGACATGTACAGGGAACAATATTAAAATCAGGGTATACAGTATGATTCCATTTTGTGTGTATGTGTAGAAAACAAAGCCTGGAAGACTTCCTTCCCTTTTGCTGAATGAACTCTCACTTCTCCTTTACCTTTAATGTCATTCCACAAACCAGAAAGGCTGGTCAGAAGGGTGCGACAGGCAAGAGCAGAAGGTGCCTTAGTCAGTGTAGGTCACTGTGCAGGCAAGGCAAAGCAGTCCCCATCTCAGTGGCTTGCAATGGCAAAGCCTTTCTCAGTTGTTGCTCATGGGCCAGTGCATTTCAGGCTAGGACCTTGGTGTTCCAGGTCATCTTTGATCCAGGGCCGAGGCAGGAAGAGCAGCCACATCTGAGGCATGCTGGTCTCCTGGCAGAGGGCAAGGGTGACTGCAGAGTCACAGGGTGCCTCGTTTCTCTTTAGGATTGGCATGTGTCTCTTCCACTCACATGATATTGGCCAGAGCAAGTCAAATGGCTAGAGCAGAGTTGAAGGGAGCAGAGATGAAGAGATACTTATACATGTACACACAAAGCATAATGATGCGTCCGCAGGAGATGCCCAGGAGGAAGGGGTGGCAAATATATGTAGCCACACTGTGAAGTACCACAGAGAGGCCGACTTTCCTGACTTTTTTGATTCCATGTACTAATGAAAACCCTTTGTTTTCCTTCCCATTCAGAAAGTTCTCCTGTCAGAAGAGCAAAGAGTTGACTATGTCCAAGTGGATGAGCAGAAGACACAGGCTCTTCAGAACACAAAGCAGGAGTGGACGGATGAGAGGCAGTCCAAAGTGTGAGTGACGTGCGGTTGGGCCGAGTGGGAGTCAGTGGAGATGTGGGTCGCCTTGAGGTTTTTTGCCAGAATAGCACCAATGCTTAGTGAAAAGCAAGATCCGGAAATAATGTATAATTTCCATGGGTTTGGCAAGAACCTCTGGGGGAGGGGAGCTAGTGGTAAGTACCGATGGGGACAGCAGGGGGCTGTGAGGGAGTGCGCGTGCCTGGTCCCTGCTGCAGTGGTTTGGTTTCCAGCCCAGAGCCGCCCCCGGGGATGCCTGGGGCTGGTGCTGTGGTCTTAAGGGGCAGAGATGGGGGGTTCCACGGCACAGACTGGGGTGTATAAAACTCTATCCATTCAGGGACGTTAGGAACAATAAAAACAAGACTTGCGAGAATATTTTCCCCAGAATTTGGTTAGAAATCCCTCCAGTGGAGCATTTTCAGTACAGATGAGAGTCAGTATTGCTACGAGGAGAATAACCTAACTTGACTCCAATACCTGAAATTCTGACCTCTCTCCTGTGCTTCCACTGGAATCGTAAGTTAACCTAGCAGAGAGGTCCCTGGAGACCATCTTGTTCTGGCCCCTGAAGACACTGTTGAGGAGATCAAAGCTAGCAATGGTGGCAATATTTGCACTCCTTACTGCAAAGACTCCAGTGGACAAATCACTTCTGTCCCGAAGACAGTTCAGCTGATGGGCAGTGAGTCTTGGGTTCCATGATGGACCAGTGAGATGACACTGCTGGCTCTGAGGGCATCATGGGTCAGCAGCTACCGGTGCCTGGGTATTCTGTCCCTGCTGGCCTTTTTCCAGCATGCTCTCACACGCATCATCCCATTTCTCCCACTAAAAGACCTCAGAAGCTAGGCTTGGTAGAGTTTGCTGCTCCCACTTTGAAGAAAACTGAAAACCAGAGGTGGGAGCACTTTGCCCAAGATCACTCATGGAGCCAAGACAGCATCAGGCTTCAAGTAGAGCCGGCTGGGCCGCCCATTGCAGGCTCATTCCAGTTTACATGCTTCTGAGAATTCTGAGGAAATTTATCAATTCGGTCAATGTCTGAAACGTGGGAAATGTGCAGACGTGAGATGAGTTATCCTCTCTCCCTTTCATAGAATTTTGAGCAGGTGCTTTTATATTTATAAGGTATGTGTGGCAAGCCAGGGTTTCTTTACGTGGTGTTCAAACGGAGAAGTCAGTAGTCACCGCTACAAATACCTCCCTCTGGTCACTGTGCAGTCTGCTCTTGGATTGTTTGGTCCCTTGAGCCAGCTAATGCTGGCAGAATATTTGCCACCTTAGGGAAGGCATAACTTGAACCTGGACCCAAGCTTTTGAGCAGTGAAAGGATCAGAGAACAAACAAACAAGTTCCATTCTCAGGTTTCTAGCAAATTTTTACCTTCTGCTTTAGTGATGGCTAGAATCTGACGGCAAAGATAACCCCTTTGCAGTGAGGGTATTATGTCACCCCTTTCTTTATGGGCACAGGGGGTTCAGGGGACCAGGGATAAGTCTCACCTGGACATGGGATTGTCCTTAACGCTCCTTCCTGATCACTGGAGCCCCTGCAGCCAGAAGGTGCATGTGCTGTGCCGACTGTGCTGCATCTTCTATGTGCTGTAGGGTTTCACAGTTTTACACTAATGTAAGAGTGAGTAAATGCCAGTCTTGGTTTTTCAGACCAAAAAAGAAGTAATTTTGATGTTCAAAGCAGCAGGATCTGGTGACATCCTTTGCTTCCTGGAGCAAGGTGGAGGAAAATTGCTGAGTGATTTAACTGAGTTAAGAATCCTTTTAGAGCCAGGTTGGGACCATGACAGGCTCACTGTGCCCCTCAGCCAGCTCTGTCACACACACAGGCCAGAGCCCAACAGGACTGCGGCCTTCCCTGTGGTGCTTGTAAATGCGTCACAGCCTCAGGCAAGAATCCAGGGGTGCAGCCTGCTAGTTCCCATAGATGGTAGATTCCTCATGTATGGGGCATCTCGGTTCAGGTTTTTGATTACCTGACACGGGCTCATGTAGAAAAATTGTATGTCCTAGTATCAAAAACCATACCAGATTGAATATAGATCAGAAAAGAAAATACAGCTAAACTTCTGTTGATAGTAAAAATATGACCCAATTGACTTTAAAAAAAATCTCTTTCTATAAAATATTTCAAGGAACATATTTACTGCACAAAGCAACACACACATGAACTGTCTTGCTTAGAAGTGATTAATTAGGGTTTTAAACGAAAGGATGACTTGAGCCTCATTGCCAGTGTGTATGGGATTATGTCCTGCTTTGAGAAAACTGCTAATGGATGGCCACACCAAGGCAGTGACTCGAGGATGCAAAGGCTGGGTAGCGTTTGAGCTGATGGCAGTGTGTGTGCCTCGCAAAGGAATCACTACGGTGCTGGAGGACACAGTGCATGTGTGACATAGGTCTGTGATCTCACCAGGGTCTGACAGTTGGAGGGCTTTGTAGCAAAAATGATCCCAAGTGTACATGGCGTGTCTGGTCACTGTGCAGGGTACACCTTCTGAGAAGATTTGGGAATCAGTGGAACAGCAGTCAGTTCCCCAGTGCGCTTGGTGATCCTTTTTGCTTGGTTTCCTTCTATCTCACTTTGTTGGGAAATTCCTCCCTATAGGGGGTTGTGCAGAATGGGGCACTGAGGGACCCCCCCAAGCCTCCAAGGCCCCACGGCCACAAAGCGCATCAGGAGGGAGGAGCCCTGGGCCCAGCAAAGAGCTTGGCTACAAGGATACAGAGAGATCCTGTGGGGCCCAGTGTCCAGGCTGCTTCACTGCAGAGTAAGGCCACCTTGGCTCCTATTCACACCGTCTTTGTACCCACCATCTTGCTGATTTCTAAAAATTCATTGTGTTTTTACTATTTACTTTCTGGCATTAATAAAATTCTTATACAGAGGAATCTTGACTGGAGTTCCCTATTTCTTGTTTTAAGTGATAGCCTTGGACATCAGAGCACAGTTGGAAATCTGAGTACATGAAACTGCCAGTTTCATTTTTCAGCCAACTTGCCCCGACTCTGCAGCCAAGCCACATCTTGACATCTTTTTTTTTAAGAAGCTAGCTTCAGTACTTGGCCGTGAAATCCCTAGCCCTCCGTGATACCATGTATGACTTGACCTTCATCATGAATCATCCTAGTGGAGACTAAAGGTGTTCTTTCTTGTTCCTCTACTCATGCTCTGGTGTCCATACCACCCTGCGTCCTCACACGTTTCACTCTATCACCTCTTCTCTTCAGAATCTCCTCTCTCCATTTTGTCTTGACTGGCTCCTTCCCCTGCAGTAACATGAATGCTCAGGCCTCCCTCCCTTCCTCAACTGCACGAGTCTCCTCCTCCTCCCGCCCTACTTCACAGTATCAAACTGTGAACCTCATTGTAGATTAATCCTCCGGGGACCTTTGAGGGGACGCTCCAATGTCAATATCGTTATTCTCCTTTCCAAATCCCCTCCTGAAGTTGATGCCTGCCTGCATTGAGGGGCTGGCCCTTCCCTTCCCTGACAGAAGTCCGCAGTGTTATTCCTTGGAAAGTGTAAAGCAGAGAGACTGTGGACTGGGAGTTCCTAAACCCAGCCAAGGACTCAAGTCCCATATTGAAAACAGACGGGTAAGTGGATGTATACATCCTGCAAGCTGTAAATCTCAGCTTCTCCAACTCTGACCCTAAGAAGACTCTTCCAGCTGCCAGAATCTTAGGGATTTATTTCAGGGATGCAAGGATGGTACAATATTCATAAATCAATCAACGTCTTACACCACATTAACAAAAAGGATAAAAATCACACAATCACACTACCCTGAACCAATGTCCTATCCATAAATATTCAGGCTGTGCCCGAAGTCCAGATGCCTTGCCAATATGTCTGCACTTTATGACCTGTATACTCTCTCTGACCCCTACCATTTAGACATGCTTTCCCGACTCAGACTCTCATAACTTTGCTTCTTCTAAGTAGAAAGATGATTTCTGTCAAAAACACAGGCTAGCACTGGTCCCTCCTGTTTGCTCAAATAACAATACTGGCAACAATGATAAACAATTACTAAGTACTGTTTATTATGTGCTGTTCACTGTGGTAGACACTTTGTATACATGATCTTATTTCATTCTTCATCACAGCTTTCTCAGGTAGATGGCATTCCTCAGATGGAGAAACAGAGGCTCAAGGAGGGAAAGTAGCTTCTAAAAATCCACCAGGCTAATAAGAGGCAGAGGTGGAATTCAAGCCCAGGTTGGTCGAAGTCCATCCTCGTCCTACACCACCACACTGCCTCAGTCAAGGCATTAGAGAGGAAGCTAGAAAGCACCAAGTGAGAGGGTACTGAGTACCTGAGTTGGAGGGAGTGGCCACCATCAGTGGGACAAAGAGTAGACCCTGGAAAAAGATGGGGCTTACAGAGGAAAACCTTCACTGACTCATCAGGTCTGCATAGCATTGTGATCTTCAGTTGCGCACGGGATAAATTGCCATGCTTATCTACCCACACAGAGAGTAAGTCAGAACGCCACCATTAATCTATATGATACAACACCGACACAGCTAAAGACAATTTTCATGATTATAAAAGATGCCTGATTATTTTTTTTCAGAAAGGGAGCTTGGATTCCATTAATCAAGATAGGATTTTATACCGCTTCACGGTCTGTCACAAATATAGTCATAACAGTAAGCCTGAACCATCAAGAAAGTGTACAGTCATATTTTGTAAGCCCAAGATGGTACAGTGAGTTCATGCTATGGATGGCCTGCAATGCCAAACACATGGCAATGATGGACAAAATACAAAAAGGTAAACTAGGAAAGGAATTGTGTAGACAAAAAAAGATAATTGTTTCTGTGTTGAACTGGCAGGCTTGCTGGACTAGAAGCAAATAATGATAGCCAGAAGTTAAGCTCCTGCAGGGCATAATGATCTAAAAGTACTTTGAGCAAGATGCAGGACAAAAGCTAGGCTCACTGCTTAAAGCCAAGGTCTAGGATGGAACTGCCCACAAACCCAGGAACCCCTGAATGTAAATCTGACAAACAAAACTACTAGAAAATTTGCCGGGGTCTTTGGGTCTGGTGAGCTGTTGCAGTCCTAAGGAGCTGAGGACACAGACAAGCCTGACTCACAACTACAAGCTGAGCTAAGGTGCCCAAGAGCTTCCTGGAGCAGTGACATGAATATGTCTTGTTAAATGGTTTTGATCCTAACAACTGACTGGTGTTTCGCAAGAATGCAGTAAGAAGGAAATATGCTAAAGAGATTGATTTCCTTCTATCATCAAGCTTCCACCTGTGGAAGATGTAAAATTAGAGAAGATGAAAGACACTTTTTAGAAAGTGGGTTTTTTTGGTGGATGTGTGCAAACTATTTGCAAAAGCAGTCCAGATATTCTCATGGTTCTCCTAACACTTTGTTGCAATGACCGTGTGTCGGGAGCCGGTCCGAACCGCTGGCCTGATGACACAGTCCCGGCAGTCGGATGGAAGGGGCTGCACCGCAGCCTTCCCAGGGGAGCAACCCCGATATCCCTCCTGCTCAAAATGTCCCTCCTAATAAATTTGCTTATTTCAGCTTAAATTCAAGCTGCCCATTCACAGAAGAGGCCATATCCAACTGTCCCTGAAAATTTTGGGTATTGACCCTAAAGGAAATTGGAAAAAACCACTACTGCCCTGTGACTACCCCCAGTGATGGGAAAGTGAGACCCCATGAGTACTGGACCCAAGTTTATGGGAAAAAAGATACGGAAAATTTGCCTGGGTTGAGGTTCCTTCCCCCGCCCCTACGTGGCCTCCAAATGGCATATTCAGTGATTGATGGTGACAGCTGGGTACAGAGAACAAATGATATTCTGTGGCTAGCCCGCCAAAGAACAGACTGGCAAACTATAAAACAAATGAGAACAGGGCATTACCTGACTCCAGATCAGAAAAATCTTCATTGTAAGTTTTACTGAAAATGGGTCCGAGGCACAGTCCATGAAATTTGTCCCTGCCTGCCAAAAAGTCATGTCCTTTTGGAGAGAGCCTCTTTCTTTCCTACCGGAGATGAGGAATGGGAGTATAGCTATGAAAGAATGAGGGCCCTACATAAAAACAATAAAATAGTGAACTTTAGTCATCTGTAAAAAAAAAACAAGAGTCTGGCACCTACCCAACCTTTGTAAGACTTTTTAACCGCAATGACTAGAAACAAAGCTTACTCAGAAAAAGTCAACTGCTAGGACATGCCAAATGATTTAATTTCATTTTCCAAACTCATGTAACCATGCTGTATGTCAAATGATTACTATCTGTACTTTATGTAATCAAAGAGTATAAAAACAGTCTGCTACTTTTCATTAAAGGCCAGGCTCAGCTTAACTTTGCTAGTGTCTGTGTCCTCATTTGCTCAGTCGCCGACGCCGTTCCTCCTTCAGGGACTCCTGGACTCACTGGAGCTGGACTCCGGCAACTGTGAAAGTGGGGATGATAATTATTGTCTATGAGTCATCAGCTAGATTGTGTCAGTATGGCACATTATTAAAAGTATTGTCTCTATGGCCAGATATCAAGATACTAATCTAAATTCTGAAACTCATTTAGCTGTGTGACCTTGGGTAAGCCACTTAAATCTCTCATTGCCTCTATTTCTTCATTTATAAAATGGGGATATGGTTGCTGTGGACCTTAACAACACATAGATGAGTGTCTGGCACATGAAAAGCATTATGTGAGAGTTAGCTCTTATTATTGGTCATTATGTGCTGCAAACATTTAATAATCACGATTTGTTAGAAAACGCTGTGAAGCAGGTATTTTCCTTACTGTACCCATATGCCTCAAATCATTCAGTGGGTCAGTGGCAGCAAGCCGCTTCCCTCCAGTGGTGTAAGTCGGGGAGAGGAAATCTTGGGTCAAAGTACCTCTAAAAACCGAAATAATAGTCAAAGGGAGAAATAAAGTTTCAAACCCGTTTATTGCTCACAAACTGCAGTCACGGGCTGTCTTTCTCCTCCGCTCTGGAAGAAGCCATCAAGCTAGCACGCCAGCCCCTCCCCTTAACCTCTCAGGTTCAGGCATGCCCTGGGTTGCCCAGGTAATTACCCACTGACATGGGACGAACTTCTCTCCACCCCTGAGGATATGCAAATGCACTGAAGCTGGCAAGATACTCTCTGGAAGTGTTACAATTTTATCCACAGGCATCAGTATACTCTTGACGTCTTATTAAAACACTAACTGTTGGGCTCCATCCTCAGATTTTCTGATTTAATAAGTCTGGGGTGGGGCCTGAGAATTTTCATTTCTAACAAGTTCTCAAATGATGCTGATGGTGCTGGTCTGGGGATCCTACTTTGGGAATCACCATAACACGCCATAGTTCAACATTTTTTTTTCATCATGGACTACAATAGGTTGTGATACACAAGCACTTGGTCAGAAATGGGAACCAATGAATACTAAATAAAAATACATGGCTAGTGACAATAAGGTAGGGTGACCAATGAATACAACTTCTCAGATTCAAAAAGACATATGCATCCGTATGTTTATCGCAGCACTTTTTACAATAGCCAAGATATGGAAGCAACCTAAGTGTCCATCAGTGGTGGACATATACACAATGAAGAGGTGGTACATATACACAGTGGAATACTATTCAGCCATAAGAAAGAAACAAATCCTACCATTTGCAACAACATGGATGGAGCTGGAGGACATTATGCTCAGTGAAATAAGCCAGGCAGAGAAAGAAGTGCCAAATGATTTCCCTCATTTGTGGAGTATAACAACAAAGCAAAACTGAAGGAACAAAATAGCAGCAGACTCACCGACTCCAAGAAGGGACTAGCGGTTACCAAAGGGGAGGGATGAGGGTGGGTGGATGGAGAGGGAAGGAGAAGGGGATTGTGGGGTATCATGATGGGTGCACATGGTGTATGGGGGGTCACAGGGAAGACAGTGTAGCTCAGAGAAGACAAGTGGGAACTCTGTGCATCTTACTACACTGGTAGACTGTGACTATAATAGAGTATGGGGGGGACTTGATAATGGGGGTGAATGTGGTGGTCACATTGTTTTTCTTGTGAAACCGTCATAGGAGTGTATATCAATGATACCTTAATAAAAAAAAAACTAAGTTCTGCATCCAGGAAACCTCCCAGTCCTGGTCACACTTGGATGGTTGGTCACTCTAGAACAAAATTCGGTGCCAGTTAAGCCAATCACAAAAGAACATAGTTACAGTGTGGCAATTTTTGATGAGTTTCTTTGAAAAGGATTCATTAATTTATTCTTATTCCATCAAATTTGTATTATGAAACACTATGTTAGGTTCCTGTGCTCTAGACTCTACTGATTCTGTTACATCATAACAAAAGGTAGGAGTGACTCTACAGTGAGCTTGGTAGACATACACCTGTGCTTTCATTCTCAGGGACACTAGAAAGAGATGCAAAAAAAGAAACATTTCACATAGAAAATCTTCAGTGCACCATGAATTCAGTGCATTCAAATAAATCCCTTCCTTTTTTCTCCCTCTGAAGGGAGTATGTTGTAGACAAGTATTGATTGAAAATTTAGGAAAGTGAAGATGAAATAATTAAAGAATCAAGGTCCCAGGGTAGACAGAAGGTAAAAGGAATACTTCAGTAAGGGAGAAAATTCGTCCGTATCCTTATCTTTCCAGGGCCATGAATATGTCCTTTGCTTCTCATTAATCAATGCTGACCTCAGCTATAGTATAATTTTAAGGGATATTTGGGCAAAACTTCAAGAAAGGTAAATATCCTGATGTAGACTAATGGTGACATATTTTAGAAGTACATACAACTAGACAGAAAAGATTGCATATTAAAATGTTACTTCTGTTTTGATTGCTAATGGGTATATACTTTTTCAGGCCTGAACTTTATCAATCCTTTGACCTAAGAGGGAAACAGATTTCATGGAAGACCCATGAAGATTCCCATATAGTACAAATAAAGTACAGAAATCTTTTGTGAACATATTTTGGAGCACTAGATGGGTCAATAAAGTGAATTTCTAAATGTGAACTAGTAACTCCTTGAAACATCAAGTAAGGCTCTTTCTGTCAGAATACTGACGTTGCTTTGCTTTGTGACTCCTATACTCACTAATGTTTTGCTTGGTTTCCCTCTTGTGCACACCCTGCCCTGGATTCTTGTTCATCATCTACAGTGGTCAATGCAGTTATTATTGTATACAGCTTTCCTTGCAATGACAGCCGGGGCGAAATAAGCTTCATACTTATCTCTGAGTCTCCATATATAAAAGAAGCCATTAAAAAAATAAAAGAAGCAATGTATTATCCTTAATCCAGTCAAATCTTGGCAATTATCATGCATAATATTTTAAGAGAGGGAAAAAAAGTTATAAGAAATCTGCAGAAGTGGAGAACAGATTGTATCCTAAATCCATCAAAAGCCAGAATGAAAGTTTGGATGACTCCATATCTTTGGAGGTACATCATCCATGATGATGAGTTCCATGAACAATCTTATAGACTAACCCTCTGCACTCTCCTGTGTTGTGTGTGTATGTGTATGGATGTATGAATTATCATATGGGACCTCAGAAGTCTCTAAAAACTTTCTGCAACTGATGGGTTTGTTCCACAGGAGCTATTGTGACTCTTTAGTTTAATCCCTCAAGAGATGACTTGGATGGAGATGATCTTTTTGACAAGATAAAACACTATGTTTATATTCAGTTCTTACCTTATCACGGAGCTTGTGCTATTAAGGAATTCCTATGGTGTCTGTAGATCTAGTGACTATAGAGAAAAATCTAGGGTTTCAACTAAACTCTTTAATCCACAGGCTTATGTAAAGGACTGTCCCAAGGTATCCCCTAGCCCACTGGTTCTCAAAGTGCGGTCTGAAGAAACCTGGAGGGTCCTTGAAACACTTTAAGTGGGTCTGTGGGTTAAGAACAATTTTTTTATAATAACACTAAGATGATATTTGTCTTTTCTATTCTCATTATCTATTGAATGTATAGAGGACTTTTCCAGAGGCTATGTGACATGTGATGATGTCATCTCTGTGATAGCCAAGGAATGTGTGCTTTTGTGTTTTTGAATTTTAAACCCTTCTCCGTCTTAGTATCTACTACAATTAGTATCACTAGATATAACCAACACCCCAAAACTCTTAAGGTCTTCAATGACTTTTAAGAGTGTTAAGGTATCCTAAGACCAAAAGTTTTGCAAATCACTGCTTTATCAAGACTGTTATTCCTAGAATGCATTTTGTTCTAACCGATCTAGTTGCAATAAATTTTTACCTAGTGACTATTTTTGTTTCCCTGTCAGCGTGGACATTGTATTTCTGAAGTAGATTGACAAAAATTATATCAAAATGTCTAAAAAACAAATGACCTCATGTTTACAACTTGGAGAAGAGAGTATCACACTAAATGACTGATATCAGATAACTGGAAGCATCTCTCTAATGGGTTTCCCTACTAGAGAAAGTGGTGACTTCTGTTTTATGTGAAGGGATAAGGAGACAATTTGAAATGGGTTTTGACACAATACTATTCTGTTCATATAAAATACTGGTAGCCAGGGTGCCAAGTGTGTTCATAATACCAGTGCTGTCAATATTAAGCCTAAAGCCCCAAGAGACGAGCAGTGTTTAATACATCATCCCTTGTTAAATAGCAGCCACAGAGTTGGCGGTAACCAGTGAAGGATTCCCTGCCATGTAGGACACGCTAGTTGTCTATAAACAGAACCTGTAATGAGCAAAAAGAGAAAAGAAACAAACCATTAGAACAAGTGCAGACCAAGGAACGCTAATCAGAAGAGATCATTTTAAAGGAAAAATTTAGGTTGTTCTCTGGTTACATTTAATGAGGCATTTTCTTTTGAGATTAAACAAACATTTGGAAAGTAGGATGTGCATAGCTCTGTAGTGGGTTAAATGGCAGTTACAAAGGCAACAGTAAGTAATAGGCCTTGCACTTCTTGAATAATTGTTCTCTCATGAAAGCAAATCACACAATTGGCTTCTTTTTGTTTTCCTTCTCTTTAATTCTTATTATGCACTTTCTCAAAGCGTTAAAGTATTTCATTGTTTTATGCTAAGCTGAAAATATTCTTTATCCAGAGAAACCATAAAGAGCAAAAAAAAAAAAAAAAAAAGGAATCATAAAGCTGGGAGGACCCCTAGGGACCATCTAGTTCAATCCCCTCATCATACAAATAGAGTCACTGATGCCTACATATGGGGTAGGGTCTGCTTTGATGTCTGTCATCCAGTGAGTGAGTAGCAGGACCAGCGCCAATACCTAGGACTTTCTCTCTTTTTCCTTCGCAAGATTATGACTCATATCATTCATTGCTTCAGTATAAAAAGCTTACTTGACATTTCAAGTTTGGCACCCATCCTTCCAGGCTTTAGTTTGACCCAAAACTCATTCTCAGGTCTCCTCAACTCTACTGTTAAGAGTCCAGTGTGCTGTATACCAACGGTGGACAACATCATAAGGTATGGTATTGATGACAGCCCGGTCATAGTTGTTGTACCTAAGAAATCATGAGAAAGAAAGATCTCAAACACATGTTAAAAACATCTGAGGTTTACTGAGAAATTTTATGTAAAGCTTTCCCTATAGTCATTACTTGTCCCAGAGGTGAGGTGACAATAATAAGTCAGTGTTCTCTCAAGATTATAAGACTGTAGAGATCACCACTGTATGCTGAACATATTTAATTTTTCATTAGACAATCTGGAGAGAAGGGATAGAAGTTAGGTTCTAGCTTGTTTCTCCCACCTTATGATAGGATGTTTTACCTAATTCCCATTCCTTTGGCTAAATTTCATATATGCATTGGAGAAAGATCTGAGCTTTCTCTTCACCAAGCTGAGATGGGAAAGAGGGGTTGTACTAACAAAGATTTCTTTTTCATAGAATGATTTACAACCTCTCAGGTGTTTCCCTTTGTGGGAGCAATCCCTGCTACAGCATAGCAGACCTAGCTACAGTCTGGTATCCCAGGTAGAAGAAAGGGCTGCTGCTTTAGAGTCTAGCTTCTAATTAGCCTGCATCTAGGTGCTGAGTGAGATCCTCCTCTTTGGGACACTGACAGGTCTTGGCATACCGTCAACTCTTGGGAGATACTAAGAAAAAAGAAGATAGCTTAGAAAATCACAAAGGTTTGAGAGACAACCAAGAGCTAGGACGAGGATGAATGATAAAGTTCATCATCTACACAAAAGCACTCTGTCAAGAATAGGAGAATTGACTGTTTTATTCATTGTGCAGAAACCAACAGAATCAAGGAAACTGACAAAACAGGAATGTGTTCTAAACAAAGAAAGAACAAGATAAAACTCCAGAAACAGATCTTAATAAAGTTGAGATAAATGATTTATATGATAGAGTTCAAAATAATGGCCAAAAGATGCTCACCAAGGTCAGGAGAACAATGCATGACAAAGTGAAAGTTTCAACAAAGAGACAGAAAATATTAAAAAGTTCCAAACAGAAATTAAGGGCAGAAAAATACAATAACTGAACTGAAAATTTCAATAGAGGGGTTCAACAGGAGTACAGATAAAGTGGAATAAAGTATCCGTAACTAAAATACAAGGAAGTGGAATTTATCTAATCAGAGGAGCAAAAAGAAAAAAAAATGAAAAAGAATGAAGACAGCTTAAGGGAATTATGGGACTCCATCAGGAAGACCAATTTGACATCACAGAGGTCCCAAAAGAAGATATAGGAAGAGACAGAAAGCTTATTTGAAGAAATAATGGCTGAAAATTACTCTGACATAAGAGAAAGAAACAGACATCCAGATCTAGGAATCCCAGAGTCCCCAAATAAGAATCTACACTGAGACACAATATAATAAATTGTCAAAAGTTAAAGATAGAAGAGAACTATGTGACCAATCCAAAAGGAACAATATCCATATTATAGGGGTACCAGAAGAAGAGAGAAGAAAAGGGATAGAAAGTGTCTTTGAAGAAATAATTGCTGAAAACGTCCCCAAACGGGGAGGAAATAATCGAACAGACCACGGAAATACACGGAACCCCCAACAGAAAGGATCCAAGGAGGACAACACCAAGACACATAATAATTAAAATGGCAAGGATCAAGGACAAGGAAAGAGTTTTAAAGGCAGCTAGAGAGAAAAAGGTCACCTATAAAGGAAAACCCATCAGGCTAACATCAGAC